GCTTAAATGTTGCAGAAGCGAGGTCGCAGGCTACAATAACTTCGCAGTGACTCTTTATGTGGTTTCAAGAGCGTATCTATAATCAAAAGAAGGTGTCAATTTAATTTTAAATGTAGCGTAAAATCTTAAGAACGTATCAAACACGGCAAATAAAAATAAAATTTATCGCGCGGTTTGAATGTTCATTATGTAATGTAAAACAGAAGGACATGTACATGTCATTACAAATGTAATTGTCATTGACAATTTTCTCAATAAGAGAATTATAAAGGACATGAACTTTTTGAAATACAACTGGAACAAGTGTATTAAATATGACATACTTCACCATGTAAGATAAGAAAGGTTCTCTTCCAAACTCCGAACACTCTCTCTACTACATTGCGTGTCGAAATGTGTGCCTTGTTAAATCGCTCTTCATTCTCGTTTCCTACAAAATGAACGGTTTGTTCTTGATCACCAGTCTCAAAATGTCAACAGAAATTATGAAAAGATCGAATTTTTAAAACAATATGCTACCACTAAGTTTATATTTAAATGTGTTATATGTACGTACTTGGCTGTAAAAAGGGTGTGATAAGAAATGGTCGGCACGGGTATCCACTGTCTCCTAAAAGGTATCCATTTTGTGGGTCTGAAATTAATAAATTGTAAGTTATCCTATACTCCCTGTTGATGTTTATACTACAGAATAGAGAAAAACGATGATTTGGTAGTAAATCGATTTAATAATTTATTTTTAGAAATATAATTTTTATTGCCTTAGATATAATACATATATAACGTTACCAAATCGCTTCATTCTAATTAATAAATACATTGATAAACATATAACTCATTATTTATAAACATTATAAAAAGTACCTTGGTTGTGACTTTGTAAGTGTCTGCCAATACTTGACATTCTGAAGACGTGGCTGTCATGGCAACTTCCTGGCCAGCACGCATTTAGGCTTGAAAACTTCCCTGTTAAATGATTTAATAAATTTCAAATCAATCAATTATTATGAAAATAACTTTAGTATCATTATCAAATTTCAATATGATGTATTTTCTTTAAATATAATAATTGAATAGATAATACATGTACCAGCCTTTTCTCAAACCTTTCACTCACGAGCTGTTTATTACTTTTTCTACTTGAAGTAACACTGATGTCATCTTCTCGTGGGTATAAAAGCTTAGTTTATTACAGACACGTCAGTTGTCAAATGAAAACAATGCATATGAACATATATTTACATTAGATATTTTATTACTTAGCGTAATTTCTTACTCATTGCTATTACCTTTGTAAGTCCTGTAAATACACCATGTTAAAGTTAACTGGTTAGTACACGATATATCCTTTCTATTCTGGTCAGATTTAAATCTAGTAGACTACTGTAAACGTATGTCAGGATGGAGAAAATAAATACAATTCATACGCAGTTTTCTAAGTTTGTATTAAGTATTTCGGCAACAACAGTGTCTAGTGAGTTAATAATACTGGACATAAATACATTATCATACCAACTTTCAAGTTTGGATAACAATGTCGTTTGTAAGATGTTTATTAAATTTGAACTGTGGCGGTTTTAAAACTTTATTTACATTACTTGGAGGTCAAGACCGAAGTGACAACTTTGGTTGGATTCTGACTTTTATAAGGTTCGATGTTTGAAATCCACCAATGAAACACCAGAAATCCGGAAATCTTCCAATGGACAGACGGCCAGATTTCGGAATCTGATAGTTTGGATTTCAATGGCCGCCATATTGAAATCTCATATAAAATCTACATTCGAAAATCGTTAAAATACAAAAAAAACATGTAGTGAATACTTAAGGATTTCTGACCTTAATCAATCATAAACTTTACATAAATTACGTTCTTGAATTGAAGTTGACTGAAATTGATATCAACAATAAGAAATCTTCAATATAAAATATGAAGTGACAGATTTCAAAGATGTCTGCCATTGGACTTCTGCTACACAGAAAATGTAAAGAGAAAATCAGTTTTCTGCTATACAATAAGGTAAGTTTAACATTTCTATCAGCTTAAATTGCAAAGTCAATAAGTGTCAATACAGTGTTCCTTCAGATCAATCAGGTAAGTGAATCTTTTTCTTGTGGGAGTCAACAATATATGAAGCTATAGGATTTCACCATGTCACTTGGATTTATTATCAGAATTATGCTAGAATGTCAGATCCTTACACTACTATTCAGTTTGGACAGCGATATTGACAAGAAAGTGAATTTAATTCAGTATTTAGTATTTAAACATTATTTACTGGCATGCGAGCAGTTCCCGTACAAAAGCTGTACCCGTATTTTTCGTCTAAATGCTTGATTTTTTCTTGCATTCTTCATAATTGATATCAAAATAAGCAGATGCATAAACGAGACAAAATCGTATGCGGCAGTACGTATAAAAAGTTTCATTTTAAATCACTTTTCAAAACGTGACCGTGTTAACTTTGGGTGATTCCGTCCTTGCGCGCATGTGCAAAAAATACTTACAGGGTTTTGCATGACTTTGTATTAAACTACCTGTGTACAGATAAGTAGGAAAACCTGTTTTGATCTTTATTACTATATCTAAAGGCCCATTATGCCTCAGAAATGCTAGCATTTTTATTTCTAAAAAAACTGTTCATTTTTTATATCTTGATATGCATCCCCTCAAAATCATGCATACAAGCACGCCAATGCATGTGAATGCGTTTAGGAGAAGGGTACAGGGTAATAGATCTATACCAGCGTTAAATCTACGCCCTTTATCTTGAAGAACACAGAAAAGTACAGGTAAGATTTATTTATATAGAAACAAAGATCTTGAACTATCTTAGTCGATTATATACAGTACTAGATCTATTTACTGCAGTAGATATTATAAGTCAACAAAATCTGAAATTGAAATCAAGCTGTTTACTGTATATGTGTATGTACCTTTATGCTCACAAGTTGCCTGTACATTTATACTATGCTGATGTTTCCTTTTAACATATGCTGCTTCATCTGGTTGTCCTGGGGATATCAGTTTTACGTGAGTTCCAGGTGTCACCAATAACCTGCATGAAATTACCCGTGGCAAGAAACCTCAAGGTAGGAGGTTCAAGCACAGTTTTATAAATGTTTAAATGGTTCCAAAACAGTTCATAATTTAAAGGTGATGCCATAAGCTTTAAAATAAGGTATAGATCTTTAAGATACCACATGGGGTTCTAAAGTTATGGAAATTTTTATGTTTGCGATTTTGTCACTTTTTGAGGTTCACTGTTATATAACATTGTATATACAGAAAAGGCACCAAAATCAGCACTCCATAAAGATTTATAACCTGTAATTTGTATGGATCTTTAAAAAGAGTGATGTAAACCCCCTATAAGTATACATTTTATAAAACTTTTATGTATTGGCAATTTTCTGAATTATGTCGACTCATCATTTATTTGTCTGGCGGCCATATTGAATTCAAAATGGCCGACATCGGTGAATTATTGAATATACAAGCAAGAAAATATAAAAATAAAAACTAACAAAAAAGTGAAAATTGATATTCTGTTGTTTTTTTATTAGTGAACAATTATGTTTATTTGTTTTGTTTTTCAGATTCTCAACATATCTAGCAATATAACTCTCAATATTTCAATAAAAATGTGTCATTGGTTACCATAGCAACCAAATAGTTTTAATACAAATAAGTGAAAAATTGTGAATACAAACTAAAATTTGCCTTTCATTATCAAATATGCCATTACTTTTGATAAATATTTATATATTCATTCAACAATGATGATTTTGTAAATAACAAATAATTTTTTTTGTTACCATGGCAACCATATATCTTAATACACATTGGTAATAAGTGAAAAATAGTGAATAAATACTTGAAAATCTGCCTTTTCTTGATCAAATAATCTATTTTTGATAGACATTTATAAATATCTTAATCAATTCAACAATGTTAGTTGTGTAAATAACATATATTTTGTTACCATAGCAACCATATATATTTAAATACACAAAGGCAAATAAGTGAAAAAACAATGAATACAAAATAGAAAAAAATGCATTTTGTTGATAGAATATTCTACTTTGATAGATATTATCAATATCTTTATTGATTCAACAATGGTATTTGTATGAATAACATTTGTTGTTGTTTTTTGTCACTATAGCAACTACACATATTCTCTAATAGAAATAGGCAAAACAAATGACAATAACATTGAAAACTGACTGCATATGTTTTTGTTATTGAAATTTCTATTAAAAGTTTATGATGTCATTGCTGTCAAAATCACAATTTTTTAGTTTAAAAAAAAAAAACAAAAACATGGGTCAACAATGGAATTGATTGCAACAACAACTGATGTTTCTACAAGTACTTTTTCTTAATGATTGTGTAATTTAACTTTTATTGAATTACTAAGGCAACAGATTGGTAAAATCATATATGCATATAAATATAAACAAATCTGAAAATGTATCAGACCATTATTTTGAATAAAGAAAATCTATTTAAATAACTTTTGTTGCATTATAGACATGTATACCTATATCAAGTACATGTACTCACTGAGCCATTTAACACATTTTAAATATTTATTTATGACTTGACGATGTCAACAAAAATATTAAAGGAAAAAAAATTATATACATAGAGGATATTGAATGAGTGTAGGTTTAATACATTACTAAATTCATTGAACGAGTTGAATACAATCATATTATGCAAGCATCTGGCTGTTTTATTCAATGAGTTTAATAAATTTAGTGTTGAATACTTCACAAATATGATATTCTATTTATCATATATAAAAAGTAAGGAAGGTTAACTGTTAAAAAGTGTCATTTTTCATTGATGCACCTAGTTAGTGTAACACAAACATTAGCGCACTTTACCACTATATTTATATATATAGCGCAAATGATGTCACATCAAAGTGTTATCACACTAGTGTAATATCGTTTTTATTAAATGGCTCTATTACAGTAACACTCCTGCTTCACATTTTATATGAATAAGTACTCTACATATTAACCAAGATCACTATGTCTTTCATTCAGATTGGAAAAACTTGATTAAATTGATTACATTAGAATTAAATCTCCTTTTTCCATGTCTTTGAGTAAAGGGAAAAACCATAAATCATCGTCATCATCATATTTTACAAAATACTCAGTTTTTGAAATATCCACATTTTGCTTTTTTATATCTTTTACAATACCCTGATACCATTCCACTACGCCAGATTCTGGGTCTCTACATTTGTGTTTAAATTTCTTACCTATAAGTGTATGTGGCTGTTCATGGAACATGGGCAAAAACTCTTTTTGTTGATAAATAATAATTTTTTGACGGTTTTCCTCTATTTTTTTGTGCAGGCTTAATTTCACTGTGCTCAATTCATGTTGTACATCATCAACTGCCCTATATATTAGTTTTAAGTCCGGCTGACTTACAGCTTCTTCATCCAAATTTAGAATGATTACCTGTTTAAGGTTGTCTTCTAGTTGTTCTAATGTGTATTGCTCCCCTTTGTGTTGTTGCAGAAAGAGATTTTTTTGGCCTTGGCTGTTTAAAACTACTCTTCTAAATTACAACTGGGTTAAAGAATTGCCTCTTTAAATTTACCTTTATCTTTGCCAGTTTTGAACTTTTCTAAGTCTTCTAAACTAGTCAATAGACCACCAATTTCAGTTATTTTTTGTGTCAACCTTACTTTGTTTGAATGTTGTTTCTCCTCTTGTTTTGCCTTTTTCTCCTGCTTTTTCTTTAAAACTTCTAACTTTTTCTGATATAATAACTGTTGCTTTTCTTTAATTGATTTTTGAAATTCTGGTGTACTTACCCTAGCTTCGTTTATTACCTGTGCATGTTCTTCTGGTGACAAAGAATTTAACCAGTCTGATGTTTTATTGTTTGACCACATTATAATGGCTTCAAATGTTGTCACAGCAGCTGAAGGTTTGGACCTCATTAACATGTCAAGTTGGGCAAAGTCACGCTCAGACACAGTATTTGTGGTAGGTACCGCAGACAACCTTGAACAAACTTGTTCATTTAAATTCCAATATCTTCTACCAGGTAGCTGGTCTTTTGCCTGGCGTTCTAAAATTAACAACATACCTGCAAAACATAGCTCTAATGCCATCTGTGTGTAGCTTTCAAACACTGGATCCTCAGATGGTGCTACTAGAGACTCATAGACACTGTCTTTTTTAATTTGAACATGCTCTTCACTGAACACATATTCACCTGCAAGAACTGGAGAGGCATCCTTTGACCAGGCTTCTAAATGAATTTTAAGCTGGTGAAGATGTGTGTTCAGTGCCAGAACATTTGGGACAGTCTCTATAAGTCTCCAGAATGGACCAGTTACAACTTTATCTATAAGTCCTAAGGCTCTGATACCTGCTTTATAAACTGGCTCATGTACATCAAAAGATATGCTTTTGAGCAACTCATTTGGTTCTGACCACAATGAGAGAAAGTGCTGTATATCATTTAAATGGTGATAAGTTACGGCAGCAGCATGGTACAAGTGGTTAAAGCGGTGACCTCTAAAGGTAATTAATTGGTTCTTTACATCTTTATCAGCTAAGTATGTAGCAAAATGTCCTCCCACACCAGATTTTTCACAACCATGACCTGAAAAAGCCTTGCTTACTGTCCGAATTAATCGGGAAATACCACTTTCATTGTAAGAAAAAGCATAGGGATTTCTACCCTCAGACACTATTGTTCTTTCAAACTGTGTAAGGCATTTATCTGTCTCAGTGGCCATATTTACAAAAATGTGCATTTTACAAAAGAATGAAAAGAGTTTACCTAGTTCATGTTTTTCCTCAAGGCTAAATTGATCCCAACCTGAAAATACAAGTGGCAATAGGTCTTCCCTAAATACTTTAAATTTCTCATTAAATACAGGGTTAACAGAACCTTGGTCCGACATAGTGCTTATAATTGAAGCAGCAATCTTAGCAATATTTTTTCTTTTGTCTTCACACTTAATTGATTCAGCTAAATCTGAAATCAAATCTTTAAAGGTTTCAAATAAAGATGTTGCATCAGCAGACCCAACCTCAATAAGTCCTGCTGAAAATTGTAAACCAGTATTACTTGTAAATTGAAATGATTGAAAATGCCTATGAAACTTTGAGGTACCATCTTGATGTAAAGTAAAAGTTTTACCTGTACTAAGCAATTCTTTTGCAACCTGTTGGTTAGCTACCCTTTTCGCTTCCAATAAAAGTCTACTTTTCACCCCAGTGCTTGGTAATCTGGAAAGTGTCTTACCTGTTAGTTTTTGAACAACAACTGACATAACCTCATTTACCTTTTTTTGACTTACCCCACATTCAGTGACTAAGGTCATTACGGTTTCCCGCAACTCATTTGAAAATTTACCATCATAAAATGTGTCTATAAATGGCTCAGTGAGCAATGTATTTATTTGCTCAAGGTCACGGATTTGTTGGTCTTTTTCTGATACTTGTAATTTTAATGTTTCTATCTGTAAAAGATTACTTTCAAAAACATCAGTGTAACAATTTGGTTTCTTTTTTAACCTACAAACTTTTTGTAACAAATTTTTTCTCTCTCTCTGCAAATCTGTAACCTTACATGCTATCATTGTATTCTTTTCTCTCACACTTTCAATCTCCCTTTCTTTCTCCCCAACTCTCTCTCTTTCTCTGCTATTATTTTGCCCTTTTCTTCTATTGTGTTATCTCTTCTTTTCAGTTTTTTATTCAAATTTCTGGTTGATTGTTTTTGTAATTTTTGTTTTTTATCATATAATTCTTCTACTGTTTTTTCAAATTCTGATGACAAAGAATCATACTTGTCTTCCCACTCCTGTAGTTCCTCTTTCAATTTATAACTTTCTTGTTTAAATGTGCATACATCTTTATATTTATCATTGGCTATTTCAAGTAGGTTTTGCAAAATTTCTATTTTCCTTTCAGAATGCTGAACCTGATTAACCAAAATTTCATTTTCAATTTCAATGCTACCAATGTCACGTTTAAGTGATCTATTTTCTGAAACAATTTCTACAGTTTTTTTTGAATTTCTGAAAATTTACTTTTTATTTTAACAATGTTATGTGACGATACATTTTCCCTGTCTTCATCTTCATTAATGTTTGATTTTAGGGGCAATTCAAAAGTTGTATTTAAAAAAAAGCATCAAGTTGCTTCATTTTGTGGTTTTGTTTGAGCAAAGTCTGCTTTTTCTTAAGTCTATTGATTTTAGTGTTCAGAACATATTTGTCACAACTCTCCCACTTGAACTTTGGGAACTTTGTACTTAAAGTCTGTATTAAGCTACTTGCTGTGTCTGAATCTGCCCATACTTTTATTACGTCACCATTACTTGGAGGCATCGAACTGGAACAACCTACGTATATGGATAAAAGTAAAAAGTGCTACAGTATCTTAAAAATGTTTTTGTTATTTGTGGCCACAATGCTGCACAGCAGCATATGTAGAATTGTTAAGAAATAAAACATATTTACTGACCAGCAGTTTTGACTGTTTGCCGCACAGCAGCATGGTAAAAGGGAACTTGCCGCACAGCAGCAAGTAAGTTCCTGAAAAAGAGAAGAGAAAGGACCACAAAGCATCATGCCACAAAATTTCAACATTTGCAGTATTTTATCACAATTATATGATTAATTTACTTTTAAACATTCTATGATTCTTTAATAAAATAAAAATACTAGAATCTATCATCATTATTTATTATTTACAATTTATACATCATTATAATCAACATGTAAAATTTATATGTCTTCAACTTCAACTATTTAGCTTTTTAAATCTTACAGATTCTGAATATTATTGTTCAAACAATGTAAATAAAACATTGATATAATTTAATCAAAAATAAATTGAAAGTTCTTACCTAATAATGCCTCTGCCATGATAATGAAGATAGGTAACAACATTAGTCATTACACCATAACGTTAAAGGTCGTGGGGTACTTTACTACCGGCGTATGCTGCCAAAATAGCCTCGCGGGTGGGTCTGGAAATACACGTTTGCTAGAGTTAAATTGGCTTACTTTTATTAGTAAGTGGTCATTTTCAATAGTAAAATGTATGATAAACATGAATATTTATGAAAGTTATCTTTAAATAAACCGAAACTTAGTTGGGTGGTTCCAATATTCCTACTTGAATAATGTTGAATCACCCTTAGGATATGTTGCCTGCTTTTTAAATTTGTCTTTTGACGTCTTATCTGTGATATGCAGGCTTCATAACCTCTGATCTCCTTTCAAAATTCCATTTTAATTAGTTCCGCCCATTGTTTTCTCGTTTAGGGCACATGCTTTTTATTACTTGGGGACCATACGCCGCTTTTCATGGAATGGCACGTAAGTGTCACATTAAAGGTTCCATGATAACCGCCGTATGAACACATCTGCGGATGTTTCTAAATTCCAAATTTTACTATTTCATGTTTAAATGTTGAATTCTGCTTAAGCCGGTGCTAGGGGGCATGGACGGTAACTTGCACTTTCCAGTACCGTCCATGAACAGGCTCAATCAAACCGAGCCTGCAACATTTTCAATTTTGCCGTGTTGGACTTTCTTTAGGGATTCTGTATTCATCTATTTTACCCAAAAAACATTTTTTTTTCTTTATTTACATGTCAAATTTTCCGGCCGATTTCCAGCGTTCATGCACCATAGTAATGAAAATTTTGTAAGCTCAAATTTCATTGGATAATCAACAATCTGAATCAATTACGCGCTCTAGCAAACTGTAAAAACAAACACCATACCGTTTTAAATCGACTAAAATCTTGCCCGGTCGTATATCAACGCGTGTTAACTACCGCGACATGGGTTGAAGTTTACAAAGTTTAAGTTACATTTTTTCCGTAATTTTGTATAAATAATGACATAAATCAATAAAATATTGATTTATCTTCGCAAAGATGTGTTTTATTTCATGTATAAACAAAAATTCTGGTAAATATTACTGTTTAAACTTGGGTATAATTTCTCAAAAAATGGCGACGACGCCACGATAAGGTCACGTGACTAGAACCTCCTACTCAAGGTAATCAAAATCTGTTGTCGGGGTGTAAGGGCTTGATTCCGACGGGTCTGTCGCTCCAAAAGTGGTCCAATAAGACTAGTCTGTCAATATTGTCAGCAGAAAACCTATACCGTTTCCGCAATTCCTCGTCCGTAAAGTCAGTCAATTGTCGATCAACTCGTCGAAATTGTCGGGGTCGTCGGTGTGAAACGCGTAAAATGTCCGCCATGTTGGTTTTGGTTACCGTGCAGTTACCGAGCTACTTTACCTGGGTTAAATTTAACCGCGGTTATAGCGTGGTAACTGCTTTTGATGTTTTTTATACAATCGCTTACCGCGAGGTTACCGGGCTGGTTACCGTAACCGTGTGGTAACCGCGCGGTTAAATTGTTTATACAATTGGCTGCTGGTCGCTCATTGAAAGAAAAATACATAACAGAGAATGATGAATGAGTTTAGATTCTATATTGAATTTATTGAATGAGTTTAAAGATAAAGTTATGCGAAAAGGTTCAATAAATTTACTAGATAAGGAAATTTCCTATTTATTTGACGGGCGGTTGATATTGAAAAGCTATCTTTTAGTATGACCTTGCACCACTTTGACGTAAGATTTTGCTCGACCTGGCAATACAGTTTTTGTAATTTTACTTTAAATGAAAGGAACATCATTATTTGATCAAATTAATTACATGAAATTCATGAATTGCCTATCATATTCTGTCGGGGTTTTTTCCCAAAAAGCCCCAACAAAAACAATCAATTTCTTAACCCATTGCTTCATGAGCATTTTGTGAAAAATGGCTGTTTTCATTGAAAAGTCTCCCGTTACAAGTTCAAATTGCTATAATACTATAAAAACTGCTTCAACACTAATCAAACTTGGCACAAATGTTGACTGGACCATTGTCCTTGCAACAACATGCTCAGACTTAAATTTTCTGTTACCATGGCAACGAGGGGACATCTCAAAATTGCCAAAAATCACTATTTTGCGTTGATTTTTTCCATCAAAATTGATTTCAAAGTGCTGCAACTTATCAATGGATTGAGATAGAGTCAAATGCTTTTCAGCGTTGGTTACACGTTACCTTATGATCAATCTGGGGTCATTTACAGCCTCTCACAAGTCCAAAATTTTCTTGGCGATGAGGGGGACTCCGCCCCCCTTCAAACCCCCCAAAACAGAAGGGGGCACATCCCCCTTCTGGCAACCCCCTGATGTATCTTTTGGTTGGGGGGCCGCGCCGAAAAAGAGGTCAATTTTTTTAACAACATTTCTCAAACAAAAACAAGTGTTTGGGGCCTAAATTAGGCATTTTTTCATCATTTGAGACAACAAAAAGGGGGGGTGAAAAAGGCGTTAAAAGGCGTGTATATGAAGTAATGGGTTAAAAAACAAGCAGATTCGTTGAATTTATATCCCCGCCGAGTATTGGTTATTACTAACACAACAACTGAAGACATAAGGCTTTATTTATATATATCTATCATGGTGTAAACAGTATTATTTTCTGTGTACATGAAAAATATTCAGGGCAATAACAATAACTCTTTGTTAAATAGTTATATCTGGACATGCCAGTGAGATGTAAATTGCCTTTTTGTATCGATGGTTCCCATACAGTTTAGTTGAAATCAATACAGCAGTTGCAAAGAAATAGCAATATTGCTTTATATGCATACTACATAACTAATCAAGGGTCATAACTCTGTAATGAAGGGTCTGGTCTGCATAATCAAGGCAACAAATTATGCACATCTCCTCCTGGTTTTAATGTTTCCCATAAAGTTTAAATGAATTCCAGCCAGTAGTTTCAGAGAAGTAGCAGGGAAACAATTATTGCTCTATATGCATACTGCATAACTAATCAAGGGCCATAACTCTGAGTTAAAGTGTCTGATCGGAACAGCAAGAAGATATGCTCATCTCCTCTTGGTATTGAAGGTTCCCATAAAGTTTCGTTAAATTCCAGCAAATAGTTGCAAAGAAGTAGCGCGGAAATTATTTTTGCTCCATTAGCACAAAACATAACTCATTAAGGGTCATAACTCTGAGTTAAACAAGCCGACGATATGCGCATCTCCTCTTATTATTGATGATTCCCATAAAGCTTTGTTGAATTCCAGCCAGAAGTTGCAGGGAAGTAGTGCGGAAACGATTATTGCCCAATATGCATACTGCATAACTTATCAAGGGCCATAACTCTGATTTAAAGTGTCTGACCAGAACAAACCCAGGATATGCGCATCTCTTCTTGGTATTGAAGGTTCCAATTAAGGTTCGTTGAATTCCAGCCAGTAGTTGCAGAGAAGTAGAGCAGAAACAATGATTGTTCTATATGTATAATGCATAAGTAATCAAGGTCTATAACTCTAAGTAAAAGTGTCTGACCGGAACAAATCGACGATATGCGCATCTGCTCTTGGTATTGAAGGTTCCCATTTTTTGTTGAATTCCAGCCAGTAGTTGCAGAAAAGAAGCGCGTAAACGATTATTGTTTTATATGTATACTGCATAACTTATCAAGGGCCATAACTCTGAGTTAAAGTGTCTGACCGAAACAAGCCGATGATATGCGCATCTCCTCTTGGTATTGAAGGTTCCCATAAAGTT